CTTATAGAGGCAAGATGGAAGCGGATTTCAGTGGCAATCATTCTTTGTGTCGCGTCTAACCTGTTGTGGCTGTGCAAGTCCTGTGTGAGACAATGGTGAGTCTCTTCTGTTGTGGACCAAAACAAATTTGCTGATAAGAGGCAGCTGAGTCTGCCTCTGCGAGATGCTCGACAGATAAACTGTGAAATTGGACAAATTAGCTGTATGAGCTAGCAAGGCTTGCTGTTTCTACTGTATTCACCTAAATAAAAATAGTGTGGCTTATTGTTAACAACATACTGTAATTTATACAGAACATTAGACATCAGATCAACGGAATGCAAAGGTAAGACAACAAGATAAATATTCTCTGAAACAATTATCGAGTACTGTACTTAAGTGATTTGCTAGCAATGGCAAAAAAAAGAGACTTCCCTCTGAACTTCTCAGAGGGTTTCAACTGTTCTGACTGAGGCCCAAAGACGTAGAACTCTCCAATTTTTCACAGAAAAGCTTTAAAAGATTACAGAGAAGTGAGAGAGAAAAAGATGAACAGAACTTTTATTTCTTTTTTTTAATTTTTTTACCATTTTTCCTCTTAAGCATTTAAATGATTCTTCAGCCTTATCTTGTGATCCTTTGGAGTGGGCTCGAGCCCCAGGTTGGGAACCACTGGATTAAACTACCTATTGTAACTGTAAAGTAGTTCAAATTAGCTCCACCTTGAGCAGCTACAACAGTGAAATGCTGCTTACACATTGATGCATCAGTATTAACAATCTAATAATGTAATACTTAACAATATAAGCCAATTTTCCTGCAGAATGAGAACTTTGAAAATTCTACTTTAAGTATATCTGACTGGTAATAGTATTTTAACTTATTTTAAGTAAAGGATCTGAGTGCTTCATCCACCACTGACAGGCCATTTAAGGCTACGTGTCTGTTGCTTGAGTTTATGGTGTTGCATATTTTATGAGTAACCTTAAATGAAACTTTAGGTTTTAAGTTCCTTCCTCTTTCCCCTAAGATTTCAGGAAGCTGAGGGTTTATTTTAATTTACACCATTTACGATAAATCAAGAAGGGAATGCATACAGTCACATCTGCTTATTTTACCACTTGACCATCTCCTCTTTCTTCCCATACCTGCTCTTCAAAATGCTATTGACAACATTCAAAGCAGCTCTTGTCTATGCTGCCCATGTTTGTGCTCTCTAACAACAAAAGCACTCTGACACTTTGTTCATAACAGCCATGTCAATTGAACTTCAAAGTGGCCTTTCCTAGCGAGCACAAAGCAAAAGGACACAGTGACGGCTAGTTTATTTTCTGGGTAGTATCACTCTATAGTATGACGGCTCATATTAGGGTTCTAGCTGATTACTGTAGGCCACTTATTCTTATATTTTTATTAACCATTTCTATTAGTTTGTTATTAATTAATACAAGAACAATTTGCTGTTTCCCACACATTTTATTCTTGATGAAATATTCAGAGACTCCACGGCACACTAAAACACTCCTTTAAAATATTCACTAATGTAATTCGTTTATAGTTAGCAGGTCCATTAAGCATTATTGCCCACCCTCTCTATTTAGCCTCTGGGATACTTTACAGGAATCACTGAGAGCAATAAACTATATCTATTTTGGTAAAATAAAGTATTAATTTACAAATATTTTAAATTGAAAAAGGAAAAAAATGCTCAGCAATGCTTTTATAGATTGTTTCGATGTGGAGAGAACGACCTGCATTATTTTGTTTCTGATATTTGGGGCCTGATACATTGGCGCACCAATAAATCTTTCTACTCCTCGCTTGTATAATGTATGATTCTATTCCTGCTGCTTCAGTAACCACACAGACTGTTGCTCTGCAGGCTTTTCTCTGTACTTCAACATTGTGCATCTGCCGCTATGTCCTTGTTCTATTTTGTGTGCTTATTCACAAATATCATCCTGTTGCATCAGCTATGTCTGACTTCATTCCCAGTGTCCCAAACTTTGAAAAGCACCTCAGGGTTGTGGGTCTGCTGCTGCCATTGAAGACCTGTTTTCACACCAATCAACCTGTCTGACACTGCTGGGAAAATCCCCTTTCACACACATGCCTGCAACACCTGCCATCTTTGTTTATTTTGTGAATTCATAACCACTCACAACACATCGGGAAGAATGAATCAGTTATGTTTGTTGCCACAAGGCTCTTCAGTGCCAAAGGTGCGGCTCTAGAGAAATATTCATGCGGTAAGGATACCTTTAGGGGTGGTAAGAATATATGGTGAATTTATCACCAACAATCACATATATCAACATTTGTGCTGTTGACCTATCCACCCCAACCTCCTCCGTATGTGGACTTTGTAACTGTATAATAATGTCACCTTTTCTCCTGTCATAATTACTAGTGCTGCTAGAGGGCTTAATAAAAAATAATAAACTATATGGTGGATATTGTACATTTACATTTGACTACTTTTACGCTGTAAACAGGTATAGTCAGTATTTCCCTGCCAACATGGATTTAAAACTGCATTTAGACCTGCCTGTTGGGAAATAACAGAAATCGACAGAACTACTGAACAGTTATTTTCTTCACATAAGCAAAGAATGTGAAAAACACAATCTGTGTTTGGCGGTGGGGAGACTTCAGTATTTCTAAAATCCTGGCCTCGGCCTTTCTCCACCTCTTCCTTCCTTCTTTGCGCTGATACTAATTCTTCCAGTTAAAGCTAATAACTAAATGAGGAAATATTAAATGATCCAACCTTACATGCTTTATATTCATTCAGCCCTATGTAAAATATTTTCCTTTGGCAGTGGAAACAACTTTAATAGACTAATATGAAAAATAATATTCTGCCTCTGATATCATTTTAGAAGATAAGAAAAAGTAAAATATGGAATGTGAAGGCACAAAACGGGACCTTGGCTACATTTCTCTTTTGATTTGCTCCTTTGTCTCTTGCCAAGAGGGTGAATTGTCTCTGGCTAATTACTGAAGCGGGGTGTCCTGCAGTGATGAAATATCACTAAGCCTTACAGTAAAGTTTGTGCTCAAACAGCATCTTAGAAAATCCCCGTTGTCATTCTGTAAAACCAGCTGTCAGAGTGGAGCACACCAGCTTGCGTAATGTGATCTATGTGTGGAATACAAATCTAATGATCTCACATGGGAGCGCATGCCTTTAAACTCTGAAAGACGGTTTTTAAATAAGATCAATAGCAAGGGTAAGAAGTGACTGACTGGTAAAGAGGGCAAATATCTAATAAAGGAAAATGTCAGAAGGTAGCAAAATATCCAAAACTCACACATGAGAATCAAGTGTTTAAGGACTAAGCTAAAGTGAAAGTGCCTCAGAGTGATTTACATACATTAAGCAACATCAAAAGGACTCTTTCCACACCTCTGAGTTATTATTACTTCAAAAGCTTGTTTCTTTCACTATGTAAAATTAACCATGACTACCTACACTTTCAGCTAAACAAGAGAAATTTGACCCTGCTGTTGTGACATTAGGTGGCAAACACAAAAAGGCTGCTGACCTCTATCATCCCTGGATGTTTTTATTTTTTTTTTGCTGCAGTGGGCTGAGGAAATACAAAGTCTCATCAGTCTCCTTTGAATAAACCACGTCATTTTTTATTATTGTGTACTATATATGGCTAGCCAAACAGCAGGCCTCTGTTTGAATAACCATATAGCCGGCCCTGCTGCCATCACATGTGGTGAAGGGAGGGACTGCTCTGACAACATCTCTAAAAACAAGTGCTTTTTCTCTCCTTCTCATAATAAAGAGGTGTCCACGTAGAAGCAGTGTGCATGGATAACTAAATATGATTTAATAACCTACGATCAGACAGGCTTGCAGAGACAGTCCGTGCCACTAATATTGCAAAAAGGCCAGTTGTTACCACGGAAACCATGTTTGGCGAGCGTGGGAGATAAATTGCAGCAGTATCTCCCTAATAATAATTTCTATTATCTGCGCTGGATGTTTAGATTATCATGTAAATAGGGGGACGTGCCAGGCGACAGCAGGTAGGAGCTGAAGGGCTGGTGAATAGAGGATATCAAATAAAACAGTTGAGCAATCACCACATGTGGGTGTGCCAAGAAACACGCAGTCGAATAAGGTAAGGTATTTACTCCTTGTTTTGAGCTACTTTTTTGTGTGTGTGAACTGACAAACCACCACCGCAAACAAAGAGGAAGTCTTCAAGTTGCTTAAATTGGTGGTACTTCTTTTGTTTCGTCACATTCCAGTGAAGGGGAGAAAAAAAACCCTCCCCCTTGCTTGGTCACTGGGTTATAAGAGTTGAGATACTGTCACCTTACTTTTATGTGATGCAGCTCATTACATGAAGGGTAAGGAACTAGCTTTTTAATTTTTAATATCAAGTTAAAATATTTTCTCTTTGTATCTGTATTTTTTAGATTCTGCACATTTCCTTCAGTCTTTATTTTGTATTTCCTTTATAATAAGATGCAGGAATTAGATACAAACATTGTTTTGATGACAAAAGTGTGTTGTGAAGCTGTGCCAGCTAAAGCTTTGAGACACTCATTTCCTTGGTGTAGTTAAGTCATTATGTTTATGAGGGTCATCATTTCCACAACTTGTCCAGTATTTGTGCATATATTGAGAACAGGGGCTGGGAGGTAATGATAAAAGCATCATTATACTGTATTTACGACACAGAGGAAGCAATAACACAGTATTACGGTTTGTATACAAACCCATGTGCCAGACCAAAACACTGACTCCTCATTAAGAGATAATTCAGCTCCGCAATAAACTCTGAAGTAGGGATATAGAAAGAAATTAAGAGGGAAAATAGAAAAGACTTTATCTCTGGCTTCGTCCCGTGGTCTTTCAGCTTGTAGGCTAAAATTTAATGTATGAAAAGTATGGCAGTGCACTCTTAAACCAAGTGTCAAAAATGGACACTGGGTCGAAATACTTTGCTGTGCAGTGTGGTAATCTCTTTCCATTCTCTCTTATCAGCAGAGCTCAAAGCCCTCGAGGAAACGATGAGCGTTGGTTTATCGGTGGGGACAGGAAAACCACGCTGTCTCACCGGGTTTGTTCCAGGCCGCTGACCCAATAAGAAGCCTTCGTCTCCAGCGGTTCTAACTGCCTGACAGATCAAACCTCCCTCTGCTGCGGTGTATTCATTCCCTCCAGAGCCAAGGACATAATGTGACACATCTCGACCCTTAACTGAGTGACTGACTGACAAACACCGAGGCCACCATGCAGGAGTGCCACACTGGGCTGTGTCTGTCTGTCTACATCATTACCTTTGTCCTGGGCTTCCCGGCCAATGTCCTCGCCTTCTACACTTTCTGCAAGAAAGTGAGGCAGAAACCTACACCGATTGACATCCTGCTCCTCAATCTGACCATCTCTGACCTCCTCTTTCTCCTCTTCCTGCCCTTCAAGATGCAGGAAGTCATGAACAACATGGTCTGGGACATGCCCTATGTCCTATGCCCACTGTCTGGCTTCATCTTCTACATGACCATCTACAATAGCACCTTCTTCCTCACTGCAGTCAGCGTAGAGCGCTACCTGGGTGTGGCTTACCCCATCCAGCACTCCCTGAAGCGGCGACCTGTGTACGCTGTCGCCGCTAGCATCTTCTTCTGGATTTTCACCTTTATCCACCTGAGCATTGTGTTTATTGTGCCATTTATCGGCCCTGAAAACTCTCCGAATACCACCTTAAGCCACAATGACTCAGCTAGCCCTGATACTGAAGAGAAAAAGAGGAAGGTGTGTTATCAAAACTTTACTGAGGCTCAGCTGAGTGTCCTCCTGCCAGTACGCCTGGAGCTCTGTGTGGTACTTTTCTGCATCCCTTTCCTGATTTGTAGTTTCTGCTACATCAACTTCATCAGGATTCTGTCCAAGCTGCAGCACATTGACCGGCGCCGGCGCCTGCGGGCCATTGGCATGGCACTGGGAACGCTGCTGGTGTTTGCTTTATGTTTTGGCCCATATAACGTCTCGCACGTTGTCGGTTTTATTACATGGAGAAGTCCTGACTGGAGAGACAAAGCCCTGCTCTGCAGCACCTTTAATGCTTGTCTAGACCCTCTCATTTTCTACCTCTCCTCCTCCGCTGTGAGAGGGAATGTGGGTAGCATGATGGAAGGGGTTAAAAGTCGCCTAAACAGGTGCATGTCCTGTCACATGTTCAGGGCCCTGCGGGGGACGGTTAACAAGACTGAAAAAGATAAGGGACACAAACAAGAGGAGATCAATACTATCTAAGCTGACTGAAAGGAAACTGTGAGCAGCTGCCTTCACTAATTTATTATTTCTTCATCCCTGGAAGCAGGAAATTAATGACGTGTTTATGTTTTTACAAATAAGAATATGACATGGTATACTGTATACAGTGCAGTGTGTGTCCCTATTTGACTCTCTGATGAACTTCCTAATTGGAAACGAGACAAAATAAGAAAACGTCTGTCTGTCTGAGAAGGCCACCGTTTTTATGCAGTGTAATGTGTAAAGCCACAGAGACAGGCTACTTTGAACTGTCACAGTTACGTGACAAAAAATTCTTACATAACAACAAGATTTCACAAGATCTCCTTTAATGCAGTTGCAGGTGTTGTCGAGTGCTGCGGCACAGACGCCAACAAAATGAATATCTAAGCAACAGCTTCGGACGTCATCTCTAAGCAATAAGAGATAAAGCTTTCCTTCCAACATGCTTGTTGTCAGATACTGTGGAAAAAAATTCGAACTGTGAAGTGTGAGATATGAAAGAAGATTCAAGCGTGTTGAAAATGACCTTGTGTTTGTACAACTTTACAAAAACATAGTTTGCAGCTAATATACAGTTTGCTTTTTATGTGAACATATATTTGTGTATTTGGCTTTTCTTATGCAGATTTTAGTTTGCACAATTTTATATTTATACTTGCATTTGATTCAAAATTTTTTTATTGTCATATGGACATACACAGTCATATTTCCACCATTATTAGGTAGTATACAATGTAAGAATATATGTTAATGAATTGCATGTGAAATTATGCCTGAAAGCTGTATGACAGGGGCTGTAGTAATATAAGACAAAACGCAAAAACAATATTTTCATAAACAAATTATATAAACATATTTTACATAATTTATGACAGTTAGGTAAGCTTATTAGGTGATTTTGTTTGTGTATGTATATGAATGTCATAGATGACAGCAGAGGAAAAGAAAGTGAACCCCAGATATACTATTTTCATACACAAGTCATACATTTACGTAATTTATGACCAAAATATTGTTTTGTATGGGCAGCAGTCAGATTCAAGGTGATTATGTTTGTTTGTGTGTGTGTGTGTGCATGAAAGAGGAGAGATAAGGACTAATTTGTTTTTTAAAGGGAGTGATGAACATGAACATAAATATCCACCATATCCACCAGATCAAGGTCATGTTATTATATAAAATGTATACCTCTTTTATATATATAATGACATTCATAAAAGTAGTTTTAAATAAAAATAAGGATTAAGTGTGAGCAATAGCAAGTTTATTGAGCCTGTTTTTGACATCACTAATCTGGTTATACTGTAGATTCATCATCTTGCTCTAAATTTAATGGTCATTATTACTGGCAGCATTTGGCACTTTCGGCAGTGGGGGCAGGCCTAAATATAAAAGGCCTAAATATAAAATGAACTTCCTCCAACACGTGAATCAAGATCTTACCCCACACACATAAACAATGCTATCACACAAGCAAATGCTGGCATCGACCGTAATCCTGTTTTGAGAGGATTAGGCCTGCGTGGAGGTTGAGCTGATCACTGTATCTGTTTGACAGGTGGATCATGCATGAAGCATTCATTTTGACACACAGACCCGGGTGAATGACTAAGATGTGCGGACTACCAGCCAGTGACACAATGAGCAAATTCAAAAACACGCTAGTCAGCACGCCACAGCGATAAAGAGTTACAGAGATAAATAGCTTTGATTTGCAGAAAGAAATCGGCATAGCATCAATGTTCAGAGGCTATACAGTACGTGAAAGCCAGGCTGAATATAAAACAAGAGGTTTAAAAATGGCAGACACTTTCAAATATGAGAGAGAAAGAACTGTTAAGACAGAATGATTCCTATTTTTACAGCAATGACTTGATTTGTGTGATGTTGTTTGTCAAAGGTTGGTCTTCTGAGATGAGCCACACTGGTCCTTTTTTTGTTTTCTCTCCTATTTCATTTTGTGTTTCCTGGAAGACAATAATTGGTTGTTGCGTCAGTGTTGACTTTTTCCAACAATGTGTGATAGGTCACAGGGATAAGGCAATAAGAAAAACAGCCCTGTGCATGTGTGTGCGTACATGATGTGTTTGCCAAAGGCAGAGAAGAACATTGTACTCACATGGCCCACATCATTTTCCCTGCAGGCAGAAATGTTTGACTGCTGTAGAGCGCAAGATCACATAAATTAAACATTGTTTTTTAACAACTTCCTGTAATTCTTGCTAAAAGGTTTACTCACTCACCTTCTAATAAAAACACGACTATCACTGCAGAGAGGAAACACATCTTGAGAATATTCAAGTGTCCAATCAGCTCGTTAGGGGAGGCATCTGGAAAGTAGATCAAAAAAAAAAAAAAGGCAAACACTGATTAGCACTGACTTATTATGTTATTGAGCACGACAGAATTAAATCAGGAAGGTTGAACTGGCTTTGGTTGATGGACATTCGCCTCCTCCCTGGGAGGAGAGGTGTTTAAACATTGATTGGGAAAATCATTAATTTGTTCAAGTATGCAGTATTGCAGGCAATCTGTTGCCTTGGAATGATCGATGTCTGACCCACATTAACAGTCAAGTAGGGCAAACACTGAACAAGCGACTTGTGGTATGTGAGGCCCTGTTGTCCCTGAACTCTGTGTCAGTACGGACTGTGTTATTTGGAAGGAAGTTGCCTATTGACTAGCAAAGAGGAAAGACGTTTTTTTGGGTGTCAAGTTCAAGAATTAAAAGTCCTGTTCATTTTCAAGGTTAGGTGAATAGCAGTTGGTGCAGATTCAGGCCTTGGATAAGCATGGAAATCTTCTTTTTCAAGATTAGAAAATATTTGGTTGCTTGATAAAAAGTCAAGGTTACAAGCCTGTTTACGTAAAAACTTAAAGCTGTTCTTATCGATATTTTTTATATTAATAATGAAACTAAATGACTGTGTGTAATGTGAAACGGGTTGCATGTAATGATGAACCCACACAGTATATTAAAAACTCTGCAGTTTTCTTGAGCTCTACTGCGGTTTTTTAGTGACCTTCAGCTCATTGTTTCATTTTTCTGGCCCACAACTCCCCTGTTATGGTTTATCACCCTCATTTTCAGACACAGCATGCAGCTGTTTTTAGTAAAACACTGATAAAGCAACTGTATACCTTTCCAGCACCAAACAGTAGACAGACAAATAGCAACTATAGTCAACATATTTTAGGGTTTAGCAGTTAAAGTCAGATATTTCCCCCAGGAATTGACCACAGCAGAGCTAAAATAAGTTATCAGACTTACATTTGTCAGGGGGCCATAACCATGACTCCAAATGAATGCTAATGTTGCTGCATAACTGCTGGATGTGTAAATTAGAAGCTGTTGCCATCAAATGTCACTATTAACTTTTTTCCCCACTGTCCAAAAGTGGCCAAGAAATCTGTTACTGCAGGTTAGGGGAGCAAGTCAACTTCCAAGGAGTTTTTCAGCAGGCTGAAGATAAAGGTTACAGTTTCTAGAAACCTGGTAATGCATTCGGCAGTTTAAATAAACTCTAATAAGATTCAGTTTCAGATTAATTCAGCAACTATGTGGTGTTGTTTTCAGAATTCCAATGACATGTGCTCTAAATATATTACAGCAGTGATTTATACCTCTGACAGGCTTCTTCTCCAAAGAAAACAGTAGATATCGTAATGTTTAGAGCCATCTGTCATACCAAACTGACTCAAGAAAAAACATGTTCTCAGAAGCTAAGTTAAATAATTAATACTAATAAGTCAAAATTTTTTATGTTGAAAAACGTTTAAGATATCATTAAAAGAAAACCTCCAAATGGGAATTTAAACTGGTAAAAAAAAAAAAAATAGTAGTGCCTCCAAGACAAATTTCTGCTGTATAAAATTATCATATTTGGAAAATGAATTGATTCTCCGCATTTATTTACCCCAAGTGAAGGAGGCGGTCAGAGCCATGCTCATGGCAGGGTGGTCCTGCACCCAACATGTGAAGGTGATTCCTGTGTCCAGAGACTGTTTCAGTGGGAGAAAAAACACACTGAAGAGGTAGACTTCCTTGCTGTGGTTGTCCATCACCTGGAAACACTTTGGCTGGTTCAGAGGTGTGGCGTTCATCAACCAGTCTGAGGACAGCAGGGCTCTGTCAGCTGGGTGTGCAGACAGGTTACCGTGAGGGTTGATTGCAGAAAGGGTGCAATTGGTGACTGACAGGTGATCGATATCGGCTGTTGTGCTCTGGTAGGTCCAGGTGAGGGTCAGCTCGCTGGGGTGGAATCCCCCGGTGAGACAGAGTAGAGCCCACTGACCAGTCTGTGGGTCCGGGGGAATCTGGAGGTAAATTTTGGGAGCAGAAGGTGGTGCTAGCAGTGAAAAAGAAGTCAGAAACAAAGTAAACACATCAGATGAGATAATTAAGACTGGTAAATTAGGTCACTGCAGCAACAAATAATAATATACAGCAAGGGAAAATAGGACAGAAATATTTATTTAAAAACAAGAATGAATTAAAGAACCAGTGTGTAGGATTTAGTGGCATCTATAGGTGAAGTTGCAGATTGCAACCAACTGGATATCGCTTGCCAACATGGTGGAATAGGACCCGCTCCGTTTGTAGTTAAAAAAAGACTCATTCTAAGGTAACAAAAGCAAAATGATTCTTATTTTTAGGTGATACACAAATGAAAAGATACCTATGAATATTATATTCCATCTTTACCAATAGATCTGCCTAGATGTTACACACTGGACCTTGGACTTTTAAGATGAAATATGTTGAAAAGATGAAAATACACAAATAAAAACAATGTATGTGCACAAAATGCATAAAGAAAACACTGATATATATATTACAAAAATTAAAACGTACACTAAATAAAAAATACAAAAAGCCTTCATAATGAAGCATAATTTTCTAAATTGCTCTGAATCCTTGCTATCACTATACTGTTACATCTTTATCTGACTTCTCTAGTATTATGTTGTGTTTGTACTGTATCTCATTTAACAAACAGTACAAAGGGTTTCGCCTATAACACATTAAAAATCCCTTATTATAAAACGAATTGTAAAAAAATCTAATCTGCAACAAAACAGTTAAACAATAATAAAATGGGTAACAACATGCAATATCAATTGCTATTTGGTGGAGGCAACTTTGCATCCAGAGAAAATCAAAAGGAAGCTTTTCTTCCGCATGAAGGATTTCCACATAATAATTTGGCCATTCCTCCCTGCCTTGTTTTCTGGTGAGTTTCAATTCCCTGGGCAAGATCGATACAAGGCACTGCGCATGGTGCCGGGGTGATTATTTCTAGATCTGTCATGAAACTGTTCAGGCAAAAAGATGAACTCTGAGGGAATTTCACATGACTTGAATTTTTATAGATTGAGCCTGGCCGTTTCTTTCATGGTGATCCATGGTCCACCTCTACACTTGTATTGAGCTGCCTCACACTAAATGCTGTAGCTCCCGCGCGCAAAACAGATACAAATGAGACATAATTACTAGCACAGCAACATTGCCCAAGCACAGCAACCCAAATGAATTTCTGAAACAAGCAATTTGTCTCTCACCCAAGACGACCAGCTCGGTGCCGTTGCCCCACTCTGGGTCTTTCTGTAGTACGTTCACCTCGCAGTAATACCACCCAGAATCCTCCAGTGCTACCTCAGTGATCACCAGGGAGGAGGTTTGATCCTTCTCCACAACGATCTGCCTGGATGACTTTGAGATGAGCTGCTTTTCCGACTTCATTTTGAACCACTGAACCCCATACTTGAGGGATTCAACTTTGAAATGACAGGACAGGGTTGCCGTTTCACCCCGCATCACACTGAGAGAGGGAGGGTACTGTCTAACCCTCAGTCCCACTGGGGTCCCTGTCAGGGCTAAAGACAGAGCCATTAATACAACGTGTCATACAAGGAACTTTTAAAAAGTGCAGAGCAGATCGTTGGGTCAACTACAAATACTTTAAATGTGTGTTTAGTATGTCTGGGTGACAGCTGGGAGCGAAGATTTCCACACAAAGAAGATCAGACAGAAAAGTCAAGCAACCAGAAGAACAAAATTGGAAGTCAATTAAGTATAATTTTACAATGCACCAAACCTTTATTTAATGGCTTCCAAAGCGATAAACTCCACCTAACAGCAATTTCTGTTTTTAAAAACACTAATGCAGACACACTCGAGTACAAAAGATTTCAAAAGCTTTGGAATGTCTGTTTGATTGTAGTGACTTGTCTAGCTTGTCTAGCTTGTCTAGCTAAGTGTGATAAAGTGATTATTAAGTGTGCTGATGAAATACTGCAGATAAGATAAGCAAAACACTCAGTCGCTCACAACTGGAGTGCAGACGACAAAGAAGATCAGCAAACACCAAAATGATGGTCTAAAAACAGGTTGCATCTCTCTGTATTCTACTTTTGTGCAGAAAGAAAGAGAGGAAGCAAGATTTTTGCACTAATTAAATACATTTTTCATTCTTGGAAGTAGTATTTTCCTTACTTAATGTTGTGTCTCACCGATTATTGTCAAAGATGGTAAATTTTAAGGAGTAATAATATTAATATATATGTGAAAATATATTGTTTTATTCTAAAAGGACATATTAAACATTTAAAACTGATACACAAAGAAATTAAGAAAAAAGACAAGCTTAATAGAGATCTTAAAAGCTAATAAATGAACCTTGGGTGACACTTAAAGCCAAAACATTTTGTAACATGATTGACTTGCATACAGACTGACCTGGAACTTGGCCTGCAAACAAAAGAAGCATACACAGTGGAGGCAGTTTTGCCATGCTGCTGTTGCTCCCCACTCCAAGCTTGAGTGGTGAAATAATTTCTAAAGCACTCTTAAGTCTGAAGGCTGGCTGTGCTTTAAAATGTGATGGTGTCAGCGTGTTTTCTTTGTTGCACTCTATGGTTAGAGGTGATGGTTCATTAATAGGTCATTCTTCAACAGAAACCTGAATCTCAGAGACTAGGCACTTTGACAAAAATAGGCACTTTGTCTGCATGTTGACAGAAACCACAGTGCAGTAAACAAGTGCTGCTGCTGTCACTCTACAAGATATTCTACAGTGTAAAGGCTCTTTAAATCATCGGTTTGATGTGTAAGATTTGAATTTTGATTATAAGTAATTACATTATGTTTGTGCAAACATCCTGAGGCCACTAAGGTTTGTATTTACAATATTAAACACGTGCTTATTAATTAAGTTAAAACATACCCTAACACTTAACTCTGAACAAAAGAGGCACACAAGGCACACAAAAATGTGAGTTCAACAACGAAACTAGAGGATCCACTCTATAAAAACACTTACAGATGACTTAAAGGGGCGTTACGCAACAAATGAATTAGCTTTTATGTTATTCAGCAGCGACAGATATGACCCAGCTTAAACGATATAGTCAATTTTTTTTAAACAGAGAACTGTTCCAAATAAGAGAGCATTGCTCAGAAAGTGAGCCAAAAATGTCAGAGTGAATGTGAAGTAATCATTACATTACAGCGACCTTTTAGTTTTTTAGTTTCATGTCCTTTAAAATGACAGTACTTCCTAATACATTTTTTGGTCACAGTACAAGTAAAGGTCAGTGTCACCTTTTTAGTACACTGCCCTCTATTGTATACCAGCCTTATGTACGAATGTTTATAAATAGCACATGTAAAGCACCTGCATGGGCTAATGCAAAGTCTAGTGTTATTGAATCCTCAGGAAGTGTCTTTACTCTCTCAGTTCACACTGGGTTGTTTTACAGCAGAAATTATTGTTATTAATATATTATTTCACACAAATTGGAATATAATAAAACTTGATAGTTTTTCCAGCCTAGACTTAATAAATTCATCCTCCCTGGACAGATTTAAACAAAAGAAAAACTGTTTGAATTTTGTTATTACAATTAATTAGAGCAGATTGGCTCCCAAAACCCATTATCACTTTGTTTGACAATAAACGACTAAACTTGTGAAGCTGTGTTGAAGCTGAGGATGAGGAGACACAGATGTTTGTCATTGACAAGAGGAGGACAAGTGGAGAGTTTCCTCTTGTGTGAATAAGGCCTCTAATTACAACCCAGCTACCAAATGAACCCTGACAAACTAGTTAGAAGTGACTAATTTTCATATTAATGATTGGTAATGACTACAGATCATTTTACAGATCATTTCTATTGTCACTCACTAACAACATTTATTCTAAGTCATTTATTCTGACAGTGTCTCATCAAACCAAACATTCAGACATTGTATTAAATAAAAAACCTCAGAGACAAACCTGCAAACACAACAAAAGCAGAGGCTCTTTACTCAGCAGGAAGGAAAAAGCAAACTGAAGCAACTCGCCTGACCTCGCCTCCTTTCCAACCGCAGGGGCCAACAGAAAGAGCCCCGCTTCTAGCAACAAACCACACACAGTGAGTTCTGTTAAAAACAAAACTGACTTTTATTTTTTTGTCTCCCTCCACTTGATATAATTTTTAACTCCACTTCATGGATTTTGAAAAAAAAAAAAAAAAACACACTCCGAAATAAAAGTCAAGAAGACAAGTTCAGCAACTAAACGAATCAAAAAGAAGTACAATCATCGCTTCACAGCACTGAGCATCTGTCAGGGTTGGAGACAAATGTTTTGTTCCTTTGTTGTTTTTTTCTGCCTTATGTGTTTACATCGATGAGATCTTGAGAAAAGTAACGATTGCCTGTAATTCAGGTCTGTGTTATAAATGAACCAAACATGCCTGCCCTGTGCAGCTCAAAGAATACACACACGCACACACACACACACACACACACACACATACACATACTGTTAGATGGTAGACTGTGAAGCCTCTTGAATTACTCAGTGTGGAGCTCAATACACATTTGCACATAGACACATGGGTACACACACTCACATACACGCATACAAATACAGCATTTAAATCAGCAACGGCAGAGTGGGCAAACCTTGGGTACGAAGGAGTGGGAGGGCAGAACTTTTTGCAGCTTATCGCCACACAAAAAGACACGGAGGACAGGAAGAAAGAAGGAACTGTGTGTGTGTGTGTTGTATGTGTGTGTGTGTAGAGAGAGAGAGAGAGAGGGGGGGAGAGGAAGAAGAAGGAGAGAGAGAGATGGGTTCCACATTCGACACTAACCTAAGCTAACTCATTCCCTCAATTATGCACGGTGGGTTCTCTTCTAGTAAAATTTGTTATTAGTTTCCAAATGAACACATTTTCCATTACTCTACAGTGAGGGTCCCTGCAGTCTGTTCACTCTTATTGCCCTCTTGAGGCACACAGCGCATGATCAGCCCCTATCATACATCCTGTCATGTATCCAAGCCTCATGCGCACTGTACACGTTAATAAGACACTTGTAGCCCACACCGGTGACTTCACTGCAGCCCGGCGTCCCCACCGTCTCATAACTGCAATATAAATCAGCACAAAAATACCAGTTGGTGCTGTCACTTGTGAAAGAAATCCAAGTTTCTCCTGTCAGCCGTCAACATCACAACCAATATTTACCCCCTCGGTTGATTGACAAGGAAAACGCCAGGCGTGGGCTTGTGATTCAGAGAGGCCAAGTAATGTGACTATGTTGGAGATGTGAGGTGGGCGACTTAATGACTAGGGGAGACGCGGTGGGCGAGATGCCTCCATTGTGTTGCCTGGTCCATGCAAGCGTTTGCTGTTGCTCAACTGGTGGAGTGCAGCATGCTGTTAATTAGCCAGACGCTCCATTTCTTAGAGAGGTGAGTGATTGACAAGACGCCATCTGTGGTCGCAGTGAGGAAGAGGGCGAGGCTGGTGGCTCTGTGGCCCAACATCTTTACTGCAATCTGAGGTTTTAAATATATACAGAAAACCTGAACTGAATAATATCTACTTAACAACTCTCAGCTAATTACTAACACTAAACACAGCATTAAAACACTATCTATCTATCTATCT